TTAATTTTAATTAATTAATTGATACGATGAATTGCCAAACCAAACTGAAAATAAATCACTTCTCAGCTGTTGAATCGGTCGCCATCTTCAACAGTAATACCAACTTAAAGTTCTATGGCTCTAAAAAAAACACCCTTTAGATAAATTACAATGTGACCCTTTTTGAATAAGGATATTTTGTACAGAATAAAAAAACATTTATATTTATCGTTGTTTTTTACTCGATTTCAACCCCTTTTCATCTTTTCGTGTGTTCCCAAATAATTTGATTACAATATATGCTATGTTTCAAATTATGTTTGTTAACATAACCACAAGTGCTACAGGGAACAGGAAACTAATGTTCATGTAAGCAAAGACTTATTCGCGAGGAGTTTTTCCTTGAATACTTTTTCAGTAGATCAATAAGAGATCCTTTTGATATGTAATTGAATTTACAAGCGAACCAAAAATAAAAACGGAATAGTAAAAAGTTGTCAAAAATCGTATTTGAAACGAATGTTTTCATTTGTTGTTTATTTTTTTATACAAAACTTGCATAACTTTCGTACTTCATATAATAATATAATAATAAAATAAAATTTATTGAGAAACATTCCTTACATTGTAAAATAACATTCATTCAATTGATACAATAATTACAACTAAGAATACAATATTCTCTAAAGAACCTAATTCAAATTTGAATCTGATCTTTCAGTCAGTCCTCGAACAAAAATATTGGTTCAAACAAAAATATTGGTTGAATTTATATTCACATCAATATACAACTTTATTTGAAAAGAAAAGAAAAAAATTACCTCAGAAAGATTAAACATTTGATACAATTTCTCATGGTGACGGACATTTGTGTTAAAAAATATACAAACATATGATATATAAAATTGATTCATACATTATTGCCTACATTCCAATCATCGAAGTACTCTGCCACACGATATGCCTTTGTTAAGAGCACAGATTTAACTCTCCTCGCGAACAAATAAGTTTTCAGTACTTTCAAATTCGATGGTAAATGGTTGAAGATTTTAATACTCTGATAATAGAAAGTGCTCAAATTTATCTGTAGTATGCACACCACTGTTCCTTGTTGAATACTCATGATTACTATTCAATTTAATAATTTTTTTTCCGTAATAATTTCTGCAAGTGTTTAACTTCGAAACATTTCTTTCAGTGGAAGGTGTAGAAAGATCAAATGAGTGAGGACCTTACTTGTCGTACTTTCATTTCAAAAATTAAATAGTACAGAAAATAATGTTTTCTAGATTCTCACGCTATGAATGTCAGTAAACTGGTATTCGGTGTACAGAACTGTGAATGCTTTCTTTCCCACTGCCGAAGGACAAAACTAAATTCCACCTAATATAGTATGTTACAAACTCAGAGAACATTTGTCAACCAACAAGTTGAATTTTTAGAATCTTACTTTTACAACGAAAGTGGAATCCCCTTGTTGATCATTTGAATAGAAAACTTTGTTCATTGATATATACTTGAATATAAACTTAAATTCAAACAGCTGAACTTATAATTTACACTTTATTTGAACGACGAAACGCGTCATGCTCTGTAGGCAATAAAGTGTAAATCGTAAGTTCAAATGTTTGAATATACGTTTATATTCAGTTATAATGGATATACATCAAGTAAACGCCAACACTATTAAATATTGATATATACGTTGAAAATATTGAAAAAGTAATTCCAAACGAACGTATTAAACGTCATGTATTTGCCAATTTTCAATCCGTGGCTTCATATTGTATTACATTTGGTGTAGTAGGGTAGCACGATTTTTGGTTTAGATTACAGTGACTCATGCCGAATCTATTTCAGGTTAAATAACATCCTGACCATATATAGTCTTAATACCTCTATATCACTACATTGAAGACTGCAAGAACAGAAATAATACTAAACAAATATTAGCCTATTTATAACATATTCACTTCTTTGCATTGAGAGAAAGAGAGAGAGATTCGCATATCTGAAATATGCGAGTATAAAGCTTCTTAACAAACGGCACAAAACGATACGAAAGATCACTGAGAACAGATTTTTTGGATCTGTTTTTTTATTCAATTTCAATTTTAAGGATAAAAGAAATTTGAATTCTTTTATAGAATTGATTACTCATTTTGGTAATTTTGTAATTCTTTGCTGAATGAATTTTGATTTTAATTAATGAGATTGAATTCTCGCTCAACTCTTGGTGAAACATAATTGAATATTAAAATAAATTAAACTCTTGGCTTAATGTTTCACGATTTATTTAACAATATGTATAGTCAACATGTTTCGAGCGTTTCGAGTCTTGAAAATGAGCTAACGCTCGAAACATGTTGACTATACATATTGTTAAATAAATCGTGAAACATTAAGCCAAGAGTTTAATTTATTTTAATATTTAAAATTTTGATTTTGTTCATTTTCATTTCTCTTCCTTCGATATGGAAGTGTACATTCAGCAATAACCATCGCAAATGAATATTATTATAGCAACTTATTAGTAATAAGTTGTTGATTAGAATAGTAAATATGTAATACAAAAAATATTATTAATGTTATTCAAAAATTTTGACGTACGTTTCATACGGACCTCGTAACAAACCAGAGAACAATGTTTTGTATATCTTTTATTCATGAAAAAAATGAGACCGTGTCGCGGGACACGAGGTAGGCACGTTAGTTCTTTCAAGAATTACTATTTAGTTAATTATAAAAGAAGTAAATATTATCTATTCGATAAATAATAAATAAGTCGTCAAAGTCATTTATAATATTTTTATTTATTTCAAATTGAAATCAATGTATCTAATGTATAAACAATTTTTTATTAAACTTTTTAGAAAATTTGACCAAGGTATTATATATTTATTTCACTTTTAAGGTATTTAAATTTGAAATATTAAAATTGTGTTTAAAATATTAAAATTATAAGCAAAGTATACAAATACTTTGCTTATAATTTTTAACGATATTATTCAATTATTCGTGGAGTGTTCAATGTGGTCAATGCTTCTCATAGCTCAGTAACAATATTCTTGTTTGAGAACAATAAATTAAAATTGACACACTTGGCTCGAGTTTCACTGAACATATTAAATACTCCATATATGTTTCGGGTGGTTAACCATTATCAAGAGTAAGTACTGACTAGTAGCATTGTTAATACTAGTTACATTATATACTCTTGATAATGTGTTAAGCACCTGAAACATATGTAGAGTTTTTAAAATATTTAGTGAAATTTAAGCCACGAGTGTTAATTCCAATTCATTGTTCTTAACATAATGTTTCACCAAGAGATAAGAGATTCTTGTTTCCACATTTTGTAGTGGTTACTATATCAGAAGTTCTACAAATATTCCCTATTTGTCTAGGAATGAGAACAAAACAAAAAAGTAAATTTCCAATACATCATTCTGTGGAATCAATAATCGCATTTGGTTAATTGATAATAAGACAAAATATGTTCAAAGAAAAGGTGAATTTTGAATTTTTTCGGACAGTATTGATTTATTCATCAATATTCTTCATTAAAGTTACTTTTTTGTAGTGTTTATCAATATTTATTCTGTCCCTTTCAAAGCATTCCTCCTCAGTTATTATGAACTTATGCCAGCACTTTTTCTAATCCTCGAAGCACTTCTGAAATGCGTTTGTCGGTAGGGACATCAGCTTATTCTTCGATTCCGACTTCATCTCATCAATTATTGAATAAAGATTTCCTTTCATAGGTCTTTTCAGTTTGAGTAAGAGGAAAAAGAAGCAGGGAGCCATATCTGGTGAATACTGTGAATAGAGGCTTGAATAGAGGCTTGATTACGGTGATGTTTTGGGCCAAAAATGCAAGAAGCATTGATGTGTGCGCAGGTGCATTATAGTAATGCACAATTCATGACTTCTCTTTCTAAAATTCCGATCTTTTGAGCCGCATTGCTTCATGCAAACTTTGCACAACTTAATCGTAGTATTCCTCATCAATCGTACGACCTGTTGGCGAGACCGCATGGTACACCACGTCGTTGAAATAGAAGAAAACGGTGAGCACAACCTTCACATTTGATCAAACGTGGTGTGCTTTTTTGGTCTTGTCTCTACGTGCCGCTTCCATTGGGATGATTGGGCTTTGGTTTGGACGTCATAGCCATATGCCCACGTTTCGTCACCAGTTATCACCTTTTAGATAGAGCAAATCTGGATCATTGTTGACGTCATTCAACGATTCCTGAGCAATACTAATGCGACGTTGCTTTTGCTCCAAATTTTGCAATTCCGGAACTAATTTCACCGACGCACACTTTTCATACCCAAAGCATCCGACAAAATGAGCCGATTGGTATGCCAACATCCTCTGCAATTTCCCTAATAGTGATTTGATGATTTTCCAAAACTATGTTTGCACTGTTTTTATGTTTTCTTCGTTTGTTGGCGTGGTTACAACTCCAGGACGCTCATCGTCATCAACATATTCTCAGCCTTCTGTAAAGCGCCTGTACCACTTATAAACACTTTTTTGAGACAAACTAGACTCGCCGAATGCCACAGTTAACATTTCAAGTGCGTTAGAGCACTTCATTCCATTTCTAACGCAGAATTCAATACAGATCTTCGCTCAATTTTTTTTTAAAGTAAAAAATCGTAGAACACACGAAAACGTGACTTACTTCTTAAGTTGTCAGAAAAAACTACTGATGAATGTTTACATATAAGAAACGTATGTGTACCAACATAACAAGAAAAAAATTCACCTTTTCCTTTGAAGAGACCTGGTGTACCCCATTTCTAGAATTAATTGATATATAGTATTAAATATTTGGGAATCTGAACTTGTTCCTTCATCAATTAGAATATAAAGCAATATTCATAGCTGGTACCAAAAAAACAACATTAACGCTGGTTCCGAACGGGCAGTGGGTTTGTAATCAATGTACATTACCCAGCATATATCATTATTTTAAGCTACTTAAATTATGGACAAAGACAAAAACCCATGCCTTCAGCGGGGCTCGAACCCGAGTTCTACCGCACCATAGTCGGGTGTTCTCCCGACTAAGCCACGGAAAAACGGTGTGTGTGAAAATATATATTATTGTGATTATTTTTTTGTTCGAGAATAAACAAAAAGAAAGCCTGAAGTTCATAGATATACCTACTTCTTAATAGAAATGGAATAAAGTGGTTTTCTCAGTATTTCCATTCAAATATAACATTCAATATCAGTAAACCAAGAGTTATTTCATACGCACAATCAGTTAAGATTTAATCACCTGAAAAAATGCGATGTCCGTGTTATTTGAAGTGCGTGATTAAAGTAGGTGCTATAAATTCAGATATTTACTTCATTATGAAAATATATTCATCATAGAGCTCACAAATAAGAGTTACCTATTTCCGTGAAAATTTATTCAAATTATTCATAAAACATACCACATATGATTGTGATTGCCAAAAAATTCACGGAATTGATATTTCGGCACATAGTTTATATATTTTCATAATATCAACTCTATTTTAAAATATTTATTTTCCGATGAACTCTTTTAGCGTTAGTGGAAAAAAAGATCAAAAAAATTTCGACGAAATAGTAAACCGACGAAAATATTTATTCATATTGGATGTTTGTTTTCAATCTTGAAATTATCGGCAACTAACTGACCTACATTGAATACGGACCCAAGTCACAATCAAAACACGATAATGATTCAACAGAAATTAAGGCCGAATTCTCGAGAAATGCTCGATCGGTCGGTATGTATATGTAAGATGGGGAATCCTCAAGTGAAATGAAGTTACTCAACCTAGTGCAATATTTATATAACGATTTCCATGAATTACTCGATTTCAAACATTCGGTTCACTATGTCTACGTTCACCCATTTCAAATATTAAACGTGCATAAGTCGTGTTTTCAAAAAAAGACTTGTCGATGTTGAAAATGAAAGAACGAGTTATTAAGGATTTCTTTTTTTTGAAAAGTCTATGTGTACCTTGACGTATAGCACCGTTCAAATTTTATCTGTAATTTTTACAGGGACTTGTTTCTGAGTAATGGTTCAAATTTCTACACAGTTACTTAGATCCAGTTGAATCAGCTGATTACGATTGATCTTCAAGACCTGCATCTTGGGATAACAGTACTAGAAAAAGGACACGGGTGTAAGTCGTCGGATCTTGTTGGCCCATTCACGTTAGTTATGCAGAAGGTAACAATACAAAAAGACCACAGAAATAAGTGCCGAGAAGAATAGCTAACCCACATCGAAAGAATATCGACTAAGGCAGGTGTTCAACGTTCATTTCTTCCAACATTCCACCATAAAGTACATTAAATCGGTACAGAGAGTTGAATCATAAATCTTAATAATAGTCTGCGTATTATAATGTATATTTAAATAGCGTGAACTCAGTACCTACAACAAAGGACAAAGAGTTTAGAGAGTCTGCAGCTTACAAAGTGCCCAATTCAAAAAAGATAACTCCTTATCTTTATGGTTATGGTCGCAAGTTATGGTAACAATCCCCTACTGAGTCTTTGTCTTCAGCATTTACCCATTTAGCACTTGGGGTGACTGCTGACTGCTCAAGAATAATGACGTTATTAGATCTTGCCTTGGTGAAGCTCTACTGAAGGAAAAAACTTGAGTCCTTTTGAAGGACTCACTGTTATTAATAAAAATAATAATAATGAAAATCTTCATTTGAGGTTCCCGTGATACAACTATGAATCAACTGTGTGATAGTTCATATTTAAATGAGAGGTAATGAGAAATACTTTTCTAAAAATCACTGACGGAACTATTCTTTATTCGATTAGTTTCGCCTTTTACGGTTTTATCAAGAAATTCTTGCAGAAATTCATGCATTCTTGATAATGCCGTAAAAGGAGGAATTAGTCGAATAAAGAATTGTTCAGTCAGTGATTTTCAGACAAGTATTTCTTATTACTTCTCAGGAGTATTTTAGTATTGTATATATATATATATATATATATATATATATATATATATATATATATATATATATATATATATATATACTATACATATATATATATATATATATATATATATATATATATATATATATATATATATATATATATATAGTATTTTGAGTATATAATTCAAATAGAACTGAGTAGTTTTTCGATTTTCACTATAATTCATTCAAAACATGACAATATTGTTTTGCCAACACAGTGGCTTCATCAGATGTTGATGATAATCTGAGTATTTTTAGTATTATTTTAGTATTAATATACTTTAATATCTATTTATATTCTGCAATATTTAAATACTTATATACACATATATAAAGGTATCTATTTCAACAATTTGAGAAAAAACTTATCGATATGAAAAGTTGATAACAAATATTGTGGAGAAGCGAATATCAATATTATGAAATTCTGTAATGCTATCATATTTTATTTTACAACCATTTCAGCTTTTAAATGTTCATCAGTTGATGAACGATATATCTGACCTTTGTTTTCATCCAGTTCTTTATGGCAGATTTGAATTTTTCAAGGTAAACCATACTTTTAATTCAAATAGCAATTCATTATAAATTCTTGGTGCCAAATAGTAGTAGCTACGGAACCATATGGATTTACTGTACTGCGGAATTGATAAAGAGTTCCTGCTATATCTGGTATTCAAGCTATGTTGAATAAAGTAACAATTGTCTTCTTTTTTAAGTTTAGCAGCGATTAACAAACACCTGGAGTATATCCAGTATGTCAGCTTCCTTATACAGCAAGCCGGTAGTATATCTGATATCTTTTTTATGGAGAATTTTCAGCAGCCATTTTTGTCTCATTTCGAGCTTTTTTATCACTATATCTTAGGCAGCACCCTTCTAAACGATACCATATCGTATCAGAGACTCCGCAAGAGCTTTGTAAATTATTGATAAATATTTTACGTTTAAAATAATTGAGAGTTCTTTAATTGAGGTTGGACTTCAAGTAGTGTACCTGATCATGACAATGCAAGACTTGGTAAATCTTGACAATTGATTGGTGGTGTAATACGTTAGGCAGGGATATAACAGCCCAGATTATATTCTTCTAATATTACAGCACATTTTCATTATGAAGAATGAATAAAAAAAATTAAGGAACTGAAAATTAGAGGACTTTACCACAATCAATTCTTAAATTATAAAAAAGGAAAGACAGGTCCTTTTGCGATTCGTTCGAGTGATAAAATTTTTGTTTCGTTAACCAAATCGACAATCGAATAAACTACATGTAGAATCGATCCATTGGTGAACAAATTGACCCGATATTTATTCGAATTGATGCGCGGGAAGAATGATACTTAAAAACTAAAAGATAAAAGAGTGTTTCCCAGCATGGGACCTACGCCCCACGTAGGGTCAATTTGATTGTTAAGGGGGCAATTCGAAACTGGACTCTAATCGAGTTTAACCAATTCGCACTTATTAATTTTAGCTTTTAGCCCTTTTCAGGGGGACATAATAATTTCAGAAAGGCTAAGGTGGGGCATGACAAAAGAAGGTTGGGAAAAACTGCTCTAAAATGAAAATTATGATTACACGATCTATTGGAAATATTCGAATGATGATCGATCAAATCGTACCGAACTCACAACACATTACTTAATATCAGAGTTGCAATGAATAAATGAATTGGAAGTTTTATTTATGCCAAGTATTTCTCATATAAAATATATTTGAGGGAAAATAAGAAAAAAATAAGCAATTTATATTGAAACATTGGCATGCGATATCAAACTGCATAAACAGAGTAAGTACATCGAAACTTGTTGGCCTGAGAAAGGGAAGCATGAATCAGCAATAAATTAAGCATACCGTCGGTTGTTCGTAAACCAGATATGTTCAATGTTTGTCAAGTCTAAACACATATGTGCGGACGTCACACGCATTGACGTCACTGCTTGGTAGACGCCGTCACGCATGAGCGTACTTTTGAAATCTGAATGCAGAATATGTAATAAGTTGAGGATCTACCAGTACGATATATCTCGGTGCGGAATCTCTCAACTGATGATGACATATAATTGTTTTTATGGCGAATTGAAGACGTGAACATCAGCACATCGAAATATATGAAAATGCAAAAGACTAAGGAATCACATTTATTTTGTAAGACTTTTTTGCGGTTGTCGATTTTGTTCTGAATCTAGAAAATCAAAACGAAACAAATTTCAAACATAGGTATACGACTTTTAGACAATTTTAAATTAATAGAAGATCTATTTTTGGCGGTCTTCGTGACTTATTCGAGAGAACACCCGAATATGGTGCGGTAGAATTCGGGTTCGAGCCCCTGTGAAGGCAAGGGTGTATGTGTTTGTCTATGATTTGAGAAGTTTAATGATGATGCTATTTGTTGGGTAATGTACATTAGATTACACGCCCATTGGCCGTTTGAAACCAGCGTTAAACCGTAGGTCCACTGAATTAAAAAAGATCTATTTTTGTCAACATTTCTTGAATCCTAGTCAAAAACGATTTATTTTGATGAACGCCAAATTTCTTAAAGTCTAGTACGCTCTATATTTTTGCTCTCATTTTTTTGCTGTTACTATCTAAATTTGGCTATCCTCATTGCTATTCTCATTTTCGGATTGTTTTCATATTAATCTTTAATCTTTGCTATTTGTTTTTTCTTCGGAAATTTTTTATATATTCTTCAATTACACCACACCTCGAAAGTTGTAACCTTGTAGATGTTCCTGACTTACTGTTCAGGTTTCTAAATGTCTAACTCCTCTTAGTTCTGGTAATTGTTTTTTATTACATAGCAATTTCTCTAATTTCGAGAAATCATTCTATCCCTTTTTTATTATTGATCGAATTTTTGTCGCTTGTCCATTATTTTGCGAGAAAATTATTTCAATTATACTTTCTATATTTTATAACTCAGTTTACAAAAATTATATGGTTTTTACAATGGTGACATGATGTATTCTGTAAGCATGTAGACTGTTTTTGAACTTATAATATATAAAAAAATTGAGCAGGTAAGTCTATAACAAAAACAAGAAAAAAGCAGTACTACAATTCAAAAATCATT